GTGACCCAGGGAATAGAGAGGAACTGTACATGTTAAAATAATGGTGGGGAATCATTCATTACTGAATTATATCCTAAAACAGTTATAAATACAATAAAGCTATATCTGGAACAAGCCATGGAGGCCCACAGGGTGATGTGATGTCGAGTCTCCCACATTTTTTAGACTGTTGACTAAAAGGGAGCAGTGAGGATGTCAGCCCTAAGCGCTGGCCACCCTTTACACCCAGGAAGATTCCTGGTACTCATTTCTGTTAGAGGCTGAGTCGATCCCAGGGTCATAGTGAGGCTGGACGCATTAGGTCAACTGAAAAATCCAATAATATCAGGAATTGAAACCAGTGATCTTGCGGCTTGCAGCACAGTGCCTCAACCAACTACACTACCACGTGCCAGACAAATACAGTACAGTTTCTATTCAATGAATAGAAAGAGTATTAGGAGCTTGGATCTGATGCCATGTAATGCAGTAGAAGAACAATGGTGTTTTGGAGGAAAGTACAGCTCCCATTTAAGGAGATTTTCTTCTTTCCACATCACCCAGACTGGTTCTGGGGCCCACTCAGCCTCCTATCCAATTGGTACTGGGGGGTAAAGCAGCCAGGGTGTGAAGCTTATAACTCACCTCCAACTAGTGCTAAGGTCAAGAATATATGGATCTTATACTTCCACTCCCCCTTGTCTTCGAGAAGAAGTGCTTAATTAGTTAAGCAGAGGGACACCTTGACCACATCCACTTCAGGGCAGAACAGTAAAGTAAAAAATTAAAGGTATCCCTGTAACAGGCCATGGAGGCCCATAGGGTTGTGAGATGTTGAGGTTCCCACATTTTCTAGACAATTGGCTCATGGATGGCGGCAAGGTTGTAAGCCCTACATGCCAGCTGCCCTTTACCGCCAAGAATATTCCAAGAATATTCCTGGTACTCATTTCTGTTAGAGGCTGAATTGACCCCAGGGCCATAGTGCGGCTGGAAGGATTAGGTCAACTGAAAAAAATCTAACGACCTCATCAGGACTTGAACCCGCGACGTTCCGGCTTGTAGCATAGTGCCTCAACCAACTACACTACTGCATATCCCAGGGTATAACAGTAAGCCAAACAAATATCCAGCAAGAAGCCAGTGGCATACAGAGTGACTCATGCACTGAATATCACGTGCAGATAATAGGCAAGCAAAGGAACTTCAACATGGCAAACAGGAGCAAAAGGAGCATAACATGTGTTGGCCCTGTGTAATCTTACACTAAATCAAGGATTTCACTAAATGTGGGTTTTTGCAAAATTACATGATGAAACCAGTTACAGTAAAATAACTGCTTTACTTCAGGTGACAAAACTGTTTCTACACAAATAAACACAGCAACATAATCCAAAATATAAAATTAATTTCAAGAAGAAGAGACATATGTAATAAACGCTGAAAGACCCTGAGCTGAAAATCAAAGCAACTATGGTGACACAACTGGTATGGCTTCAGTGCATGTTCCACGTGTCATGTCCAGTCACCATACATTGTGACTATGTAGTGACTACTTCCAACAGAGAGAAAAATGTGAATATTGATTGCTCTGATATATAATTAATAACCTTTAAGATCTGCCAGAATCGTGTATGTTATGCTGGGTACAGCTAGTTCTACTGAACCAAGCACTCACCTCTTCAGGTAAGGTCTTGTTGCCATCTTTGGCATCACTTATATCCTTAAAGATGGAGTCCCAAATGCCCCAGTTACCCAAATTGTGGCAGTTGTAGAATGTGGCAACTTTCTTAAGGCTGTATACTACGTTGAAAGTTTCGTCTTCATCTGGTGTTTCCTCCTGAATAATAATGATAATAATAACAACAACAACAATAATAATAATAACAACAAATGAATAAATAAACACAATTAATAATTGAAATACTCTGTTAAAAATGTCATTTTTTGAACTGCTGACTGTGAATCTGTAATTTGTGTAATATCCAGTTTATCCTCAAAGTGAACTGATTTTTGAAAGCGACAATTTAGTCTGATACTTAGGCCACCTTTGGGAAACCTGCAAACGTTGAGCCTGCCTCAAGCTTATAGTTATATCTTGATCTTTTGCCACTTAAAGGTTTATCTAATCACGCTAATGAACTGTACAGGTTATATACGGCTTCAATAAAAATTGTAAAAAAATTATAACAAACTTCTAATTGAAAAGAACATGAAAGTAAATGAAAGTGGCCTATTTTTGGTACATCTGTCCCACCCCACAAATTTTTCTTTAAAAAGTATGCCTATTAACTTCAGCATATAAGTAAAGTAATAACTCAAGAGTTGTTGAATTAATTCTCATGAAACTTGAAAGTGGAAAATTTTACTGATGACTGTCAACACATTACAGTTTCAATTACAATTGGACAATAATTATGAACAATAAATATCTGTAAGTGCAGAAAATGTTCATCACAGAGGTTTCGAGGAACACGAAACAGAAAATTTTATGTCCAACGCCCCCCCCCTCACACACACACACACACAAAAACACTTGCAGTTTTCAAGACAAACAAAACAGAATGGCCCAAAACTGTTATGAGTAAATTTTCAAACTTGTTTATCTCCAAAAGTCTTCTGAATACAAAACCAATATTTCTTACTGTTGTTAATAATTAAATGAAAATTCCTCCTGCCTGAATTTATAGGCCCATGTATATGGAACTGCATATTTGATTACTATATAACTGAACATGCTGTTCTAAGTTTTTTTCATAATTTGAACTTTCTTGCAAGGTAACTCAAAAATACAGAGTGAATGCAACAGATTAAACTAACTGAATATTTAAAAGTTTGTGATGATGGCGCAGTAATACAATTATTGTGTTTCTGGACATTATCTGTTGCCCTGTTTTATTTAAAACACACAATGTTTTGGAAACTGGAATCTGTTTCAGTCTTCAGGCGGACAGAATTCAATCTCCGAAATGAAGTATATTTTAAATACAAACAGGATGATGGATAATGTCCAGAAACACAATAACTGTATATGAACATTTCCAAACTTATTAAATTAACAATCCAAAATCTGCCTGAAAAAACTGAAACGAACCATACAAAATATAAGTCGGAACATCCAATTCACAGACAATTCATTTTATGAATGTGTCACAATCTCATTTAAAAATTAAAACTCACAAACACCACTGTAACCTTCCAAACAGAGCATAACTACATTCATAATTTCCTTAAAATTATTTTCTCAATCTGACAATAAATATGTCACTTATAAATCTACTTAAAAAGAAATAAACTTAATTAGACGCTAATACAAAAGGTGGTTCAAAAAAAGAACACAGAAAAAACTAAGTACATGTTCAAGTCTTGTTATCAAATACAGTAGAAAGTCATAACAAAAGGTACAGATAACGCTGCCTCTGTGATCAAGCAAACACATAACGACAAATGTGGCAAGGGTAAAATATCATGAAGTGACAGTACAAAATCAGAATAACATTCATAAGGAAATTAAGAACAGATTAAATCTGTCAAAGGTATATTAACTTTTGGCTTAAAATTGTGTCTTCCTTTCTCCTGTCTAAGAACCGAATTAAAATGTCACCTCTTGTTTCACATGGGTGAACAAAATATCAAGGCAAACATTTGGTCACAAGGATAAGGTAAATTGAGGATTAAAAAGGTATACAATGAATACCTTCACAATTTGTACACTTCACCTAGGATTTTAAGGTGATGAAGTAAAGAATGATGATTGGTACGACACACAGGTAAGATGAAAAATTCACACATTTTGATCAAAAGGGTGCTATGATGATAAAACTGATCCTAGACAAAAAGGATATGAGGTAACAGAGTGGATTCAATGGCACTAGATAGGGAGCAATGCTGGGATTCTGTAAATATTATGAACCTTTGAGTTCCATGGAAGCATGGAATTCACTGGACACGTGGGCAAACTTTTAAGCACCCTGCAACAAAGAACAAGTCTATGAATTTAACTTGAAAACTGACTTGGCCCTATTTAGAACTTTCCAATGTAATTTAATAAAATTTGAAGATGTAATTAACCCTGAACTATAACTGACCCCTTCAATTAGTGACCTCCAGTCATCCACTGCTTCTTTGTATTTGTTGACGACCATGTCGATGAGAGTTGAACGTGCCACATCGCAGCGAGTGAAGATGGCATTGCCTTCGGTGCACAGCAGTTCCAGCGTCTTTGCACACGTTTCCAGTACATCTGTGTCATGGTGCTTTTCTACAATTGACGCCATCTTCTTCAACAGCAGGTCAAGATTCTGTAACACAACACACAGTGCTGTTACTTAGAGCATTAATACTTTTATTATTTTGTATCCATAATGAAATTAAAAGAAGAGTTCAGAATGTTTATCATGAGAAAATGTCCAGAAAGCAGTTAATTTCATGTATCTATGAGTTCATTGGGAAGCAGAAATATATCACTTTCTTTAATCATTTAACTACTACATTTTTACATGCTAGGCCCAGTAACCCTACTGAGTGTTCTACATTTCTGTTCTTTCCCAGGATGACTAATACAGTACATCAGATTCCAAAAGTGAGCAAGTTGTCTCATGTGCTATCTCTTCTGACTTGTACTTTGGAGGTGCACTGCTTTCAATTTTCCTTTCCTTTGGCACTAACTTCGCCGACAAGCGGCGGTCGCTCGGTCGGTATAGTTCGCTTGCAGACTAAAGCCACGGAGTTTGTCTGTTCATGCATAATTTACTGAGGTAATTTTTTATCATGTTGCCTAGTGTGTTGCTTTTCTAGACAGCCACCAGCTACTCATGTCCATTAAGCCTGTGACTTCCAAGCTGTAACAGAACTGCCTCCTAAGAATGCCAAGAATCTGGTGGTAAATACAGTTGTACAGAAACACCTGTCATTCTTCCTTTAAATACTTTCTGGACTACAGAAATATTGTACTTCTTTTGGCTTATTTTGGACTTCACCCATTGTCTGGTATGTAAAAGACAAAGAAGCCAAAGTATACACCATCGTCAGAATCTTTTCAAGTCTATCTACAGAAATGTTACTTTTGAAAGTCTGTTTCCTCTAAACATTTGATCATTAAGCCAATCTCTTCAGCTGTGGCAGCTTTTTCATTAAGGGCCCCTAGTCAGCACAAGGCATGCAGCAACTATCAGTTTCCTGTCCTCATATTGGCTTATGTAAGTAATGGAACCAAGAATCTTTAACAATTTTTCTAAATTCAAATGTCACATCAAAGCATACCGTTTCCTGGCGAGAAGTTGTGTAGATGTCCAATTCAAAATACTGTGGAATTGACAGCAGGTTTGCCAACTTCTCAGGATCAGCACGGTACTTATCCAGCATAGCAGGCAATGTCTGTATGTAATGTTCAGTGAGGCGCAGTTTATCATCCTGTACTTGCTTGATTTCTTTGGCAGACAGTATCTATACAAACAAATACAGTAGTTTCTACATGTATTTTATCTAAAACTGCAGCACCAATACACTAAATTCTAAGCTCAGTGGAGTAAGAACATAAGTTTCTGTAAAAAAATAAATACATGTACTCCTTAAATTATGCAACTGCTGTTCCCACCCTAAAAAAAAGTCAGAGAGGGTGAACTGTCATAAATTTAACATTATGAAATATTATACCGACAGTTTTCCTTTCCCCAAAAATGTAACAGTAGTATATGTGCAGAAGAGACTGCATGGGTAGGATAAATCTTCCCTTGTCCTATCACATTCCTCCTCCGCCACCAACACAATACCCTACTCCCTCCTTCGCCTTGCTTCTCTTGATCAGCTGGAATTCAATATTCATTGAAGCAAGTGCTACTAATTCAAATCTGTCTAAACTGGCTGAATGCATTAAAATGGAATCACAATTCTTTAACTCATGTAACGTGAACTACAGGTTATGAAGTCACACAGACAAAATATCATCACAGTCAATGCAGACTTGCATTCTTCAACATGCAAGTTAAAACAAAATTCTGCAAAATATACAATGTATGACATATTCTAAAGTATGCTGACTGTATACATAGGTCTGATGTGAGCAACTAAAATACAGGTGGCACAGTTCTCATGAGATTCACGATGTATATCACATCATGTTTAGTTGTGATGTCGCACTGGAGTATCAGACCAGAAGTCAAGTGATATTGCAAGTGGTAATAATTGTAAGGGTGAGTGTCCAATAAAGATCCGAGACCCACGTGAAGTTATTTGTTGCGTGACATACCCAACACGTGATAATATTAACAGGAAATTTCCTGAAATGCTATGCATAAAATTATCATCATACCTTACGTGTAGGTCCTCGACCAACTGGTGGCTCCCCTGTAGCAGCCTGACGAATACAACAGACCATAATCTCTATAAGACTGGTCTCTTGTCGGTCGTCCAGTGCTTCCTCTGATGGTCCTGGTTCTTCTAGCAGGAGGTCAGTCATACACTCCCAGTCCTTCATCATCTCATTTGATTCGATGAGAGAGTCCACCAGGTAAGCTCCATGCTCATGAAGCTGAGGAAAAAATGTTTAAATTCTGTTAACATAAATCAATAACAAATATCTGAAATATATCCTTACACAAAGTCTGACTTGAAAGAAATTTCATTACACAGAACTTGGATTTAAGAAAACAATGTATCAAAGCATGGGGCTTTGCCCTGAAATTCTGTGTAGTGTATGTGATAATAAAATATAACATTGAAAGCAAGATGTAATGCAGAGTCAAGCATTGCATTGAGAAGTTATCCTTAAAATGTAATGAACAAGTTTCTTACCTCTGACTCGATGAAGAACTGCACTAAATCCCGTATGAGAGGGGTGTTGGGGAGCCGTTTCTTGCCTCGCTTGGTGCGTATACCTGCAACAGCCTCTTCATCTGGCACAAACAGACGTTCATTCAGGAACTCACCAGCTGCCTGGGCAACAGCTCGATGAGAAGAATATACCAGCTCATACACGTGCTCACAATCTTTGTCTGTCAGGATATCTCGATGGTGCCTAATTAAAAAGAAATCATGCACAAATTTAAGTTGAAGAGCCCTAACTTCTGGGATATAATGCCATGCAGCATTTTGGATGACAACCGATGTTTCGGAGGAACATGTCATCTTCATCTTCAGGGTCAAAAAATAAGCCAGGCAAAAAACCAACATAAAGCAGGTATTGAGCAGAGTCTGATTCATGCTGGTTTCTTGCTTGGCTTTCTCCTTTACCCTAAAATGCTTGTCGTTATCACAACTGTGAGAACTTCAAATCCTACTTAAAGGAAGCTGCAAGTCAGTAGATGGAAGACAAGGAAAAGAACTTATTTCAAGAATGCAGAATACATGCTCAACACAATTCTTACATGTGCTCTATGCTTATGTTTCTGTTTTATCTGTAACATAAATAATGCCCAATGAACATAATGTGTCATTCAACAGTCAGTTTTCCATTCACATCAACACCTAATATATTTACCGCTAAATGATATAAACTCCGTCTCAAGTGCAAACAATATATTCTGTGTCTTTGATCTTGCTCCCTACACTACATGTTTCGGCCTCAGACGGCCATCATCAGGTGTATAACACTCACGTCGCTGTCACACTGCACCCAGTTCAAAATTTAACATCTA